CCCCAAAACCCCAAAACCCCATTAAGCAAAACCTAATGGATTAACAATTTACAAAATATTCTTAATACAAAATAACAACTGATAGATTATTTTATAATTACTTGATAATTTTAATTTTACAATTTTCATATTTGATCAATCTATTCTCTTCTTAATGATATTCTACGCTTTTTAGCAGTAATTTTTCATCCATCTTTGCTAAAACGAACCACCTTAATCGACTATTAAAGTTTTAGTATTACTAACTACACTAGTGAAATTAGGATTTGATAGCAAATCAATCTTCTTGAGTATGCTTTATTATTTTTCTTAAAAGCTAAGGCAATCTTATTATTGCTGTTACTATCTTTTACTGAGTAATTTGCTTTTTTTACTGCTGCTTATTGCAGAACTACTATTATGATACAAAGGCAAACCTAGAACCTATTCCTGATTATTTAATTGTAATTCTTAGAGTGAATTATCTTTAACATTAGTCTATTCTTATTCTTTCATTTTATTTAAAAGAAAAGCACTAAATCTCGTATTTCGAAAGGGTACTTGCTGCCTTTATTAATCATTATACTTAAAAAGACTACTATGAGATTCCATATCTTGCTAATTAGAAACTTGCTATCTCTAGATAAGCAGATTTTTATTAACATAGTTAGACTTAGGTTTTTATTGCACAGGATTGCCGAAACTGTTTCTACCTCTTTTTGATATTATTTTTGTTCGAATTTCTTGTAATATATTATTTAGATTAGATCCACCTTGCAGCTAGTTATTATTTTGTAAATTATTAATTTTTCTTTAATCAGGTTTGCTAGTCAGTTGCTTCTGCAATTTAGGAGAAATAGGGTTGAAGGAATTTTAATTCATTAGATTATTGATCTTAATGATGTCTCCTTATATTTGCTGAATACTACTGCTATTTTTGTTATTTACAGCAGGTAATACTTGTGATTAGTGATTATTTATCATTTAACTGACTATTGTTTGAGGTTGAAATTAGACAATTACAGTACTCTCAATCTATAATCTATCACTTTGTATTTGCTTAATTGGTTATGATTTTTTAACTAAGAATCTATTCAACCCTGAAGTTGTCTGAGTTCTTTCAATATTATGATTCCTACTAAAAGTTTCCTGCTTCTGCTCTAATTTATTCTTGCTTTTGATAAGTCTCTATGTATCAAAATCTTTCAAATCAAAGTTAGAGGACCACTAAAAATCTTTATTATATTCATCGAAGCTTCTAAATTATTCACTCGCTTCTATTAAGTCCTATATAGTTCTCATCTCATGTGTGTTTGTATCAACTCTTGTTGAATTATCAGCTATTTCTTAGATGGGTGGATTCATCACAATTGCTAAGCTAGGTGAACGATTATTCAACTTATTTTTCATGTTTATAAGAATTATATTAAAAATTTAAATAATTTAAATAAAAAATGTCAAAAAATTTAAACTTAGCCGTCAAAATTGCAGTGGTTTTAATAAGCTTCTTCTGCTTCAGCTAAGCATCTATTGTTAAAGAATATAGCAGCTATAATGAACTCTATATACTCTAAAATACTCGAATCTCTTTTGAGGAATTCAAAGAGTTTATGATAAAGAACTTGGGTGGATAAGTAGATGAGCCAATAGATAGAAGTGTTCTCAGACAGCAATTAGCATACTATCTCAAATAATAATTAGTAAGATTTTTTGAGTTTATAATCATTTCTTAGAAAATATAAGGGTTCAACTAGGATCCAAATCAGTTTGATCAGAACACTGAGGACATAGTACTTTTCTTATCACATAAAGCTGCAAAGGATTTCATTATGAAACAAAACTTACAATAATTTTCTTGGAGTTAAGTTAACAAGTTGATGTTTGAAGTGAATGAAGTTAACTAAGATAAAATATATCGCAAGCCACAGACATTGCACAGCAATAAACTTTTGGACTACACTAATAGCATAGTCATAGAGATGTCTAATTTCATCATCGACAAAATTCTTGAGCATAAATTATCCTGGGACAGCACAGTATTTAACTTGGCAACCTAAAGAGAAACTATTTAAATGATTAGCGATTAAGCTGGTATAGAAATCATGTCTTATTTCCTATTCAAGCTAATTTATGACGATAATAGAAGATACGCATATGAAAGGATTGAGCAGTTTGATAACTTTGATGAGTATTTGCCAATAAGTAAGTATTGATTGTTTAATTAAGAGGGAAAAGAATAAAAAAATTCATTTATTTGGTTTATCATTCTGCATCTAACTTGAATCAAGCCATTGCGGGGTTTTGGGGTTTTGGGG